AACTGTGACTTTAAACGACAAATACTTGAATATAACATAATTTACAGAAACATATTTTCCTTAAATAAGGATGCAGCAAATCAGGTCAGGCAGTGAGAGAGGCCGACTGATCAACAAGTGACTGATCAGGATCAAGAGAGGAGGACGACCGGATGGACGCAGCAGTGGACAGAGGTGGGTGGTAGGGGATGGACAGTGGGACGTTCTTTTTTTTCTGCCATGGAGGAATGCTGAGGCTTTCTGACAGCTGTGGCTTATCTAATGACACAAAGGTCTGCTTGTGGCCCGATTAGCATGGCGCTGCACCAGTGAGCAGGACGGGGGTCGGATTCTGACTCACTGCCTCTTAGACAGAACGCTGCCACAGCAGATGATCGGGTCGGACCCAATGACACGATGAGCCACAGAGGGAACAATGACAATCCGTCCTGATGCAGGTTCTAAAATGTTAACTGCTGGAAATTTAAAGTGTGTGCGATTAACGTTAAGGCCGAGACAATGGTCACATGTTTGTCGGCATCGCTGACAGCTGCCGGTTATTGGCCAGCAGGGGGTTCTAACAGGGAGGATATAACAGCAGCACCGACTCGTCTGGTTTGACAAAATCTAACATCAAACTCAATTTATTATCATACATATTGGTTTCATTTATTCTGTATAAATATATATATATACATTTAGAAGTATATGGACTGGAAAATCTGTGCAAGTTTACTAAAAACCACATGTGTCTAAACTCAGTGCTGTGACTCAGATGGGGCTATAATTCCAACCACCTCTACTAAGGACACAGCCTGGGGGGGGGGCTATGTCTGTAGCCCCACGTAGCTGAGCTCTGGGGGGGCGGGGGGTGAGGGGGTAATAAAATATCCACATTGGAAAAGTCTGAAATGCCGGGAATTTAAACAGTTCTGGACACTTCTGTCTGCTGTAGAGAAAACACGGTTTCAATTACTCTGAGGCAAGAAGTGAGTGAACGAGATCCAAAGAACCAGAACTCAGAACCGGGGAACAACAGAAGCCGTGACCCTGTGGTACCAAGGACACAGCCTCAGGAACCGAAGAGAGAGACGACGGACGCCGGAGTCTACGGGAAGAGTTAATGACTAAAGCGGTAAAAGGCTCTCGGACGACCTTTGACCTCCTGTCACATACGGAGCACACATTAAAGATTTTAAGACGACGTGTGGCTGCTAATGAGTTGACCCGGATAAATACATATTTCGATGCCCCGAACCCAAGTCTCTTTGGTGCAAACCGACCCATATTCTATTCCTGGAAAAGATGTCACTAAATAGGTCGAGATCAGAACTAGAACATCACAGACAGAGGGCCTCTGTCTGAAGTCGAATCTGATTGGACGGAAAGTGAAGTGAAGTCACAGGCTGGTCCTATGATCTGGATTATCCCCTAAAAATATTAATATTCCAATTTATCTGGTGTGGCATTTGTGTGAGGTGGGTGAGGGCAGTGGGTGAGGGCAGTGGGTGAGGGTGAAGCCAGACATCTGTGATCACACCAGAACCGACGGCGGGAGCACAGAGCAGAACAAACAAACGGAGAGCAGCAGTGTTTGTGGAAGAGGCCTCATGGGGGCAGCGCGCCCAGCAAGAGGGGGGGGGGGGGGGGGGGGGGGGGGGGGTCTGTGACACGAGGAGACTGAGCTTGAGAGGGGACTACGAGGGGAATCCGACAGTGGATACGAGAGCAGAGGCATCTGTCAATCATATTTAACAGCTGTCTGTGGTCAGAATTCAGGAGTTTACTTACTAAACTAGCTGCTAACTAACACGGCGTATCAGCTAGTAAAATATTTCTCACGTAAACCTCAATTTTTACACCTCCATTATTACCTTCAACAATAAGAAATTCAAGTTCTGCCTCAACTACTCGTTCTAGCCTAGGCTAAGCTAAGCTAACCCTGCTAGGAATCATCCTATTTTTTTAATGTTAACTAGCTGCTAACTAGCATGGTGTATCAGCCATTAAGCGGTTACTGTTACCTTGAGGTGAACATCCTGAGGTCTGTAGCTGATGTTATTTAATCAAGTCTCACTTTTAGATTTTTTTTCTATTTCTATTTTTTTTTTAAACAAAACAAAACAAAACAAGTGCCAGAGACCTAAAGGGTTTGTCGTGAAAAACAAAAACATAACAGGCTACCTATTAACATGTGAGTGGGCACTGTGTTAATGTTTGTCAGTGACCTGTAGATGGCGTGGTGAATCATTGTTCAGTCAAAGCCACTCACGTAAATGAGCCCAGAGTAGTAGCGGTCCTTCAGGTTGTGCAGCACGGACGCCTCGTTCAGACAGGTGAGCTCCGCCATGTCCTCCACCTTGCTGAACTTGGGCGGGTTCATCTTCTGGATGTCGTCCTTGTTGATGACCACCTTCTTGCCGTTCTCGGCCAGCTCCACCAGCACCTCCTCGCCGCGCTCCTCCCGGATGCTGGCCCCCTCGAAGCCATGGCGCTCCGATGGAACCCACACCAGCTTCTTGGCCGTCCAGTCGGCCTGCGTGGCCGGGTTGTACACGACGGCCCGGTCTACGAACAGGTAACGCTCTGGGTCCTCTTGTCCACTTCGATGCGACATCTTTCCTGGGGGTTAGCAGAGTAATGTGGCCACCTGCGAACGAGAGCGGGAGCTGGATCAATCCTGTGAATAACAGCGTGTCACTCGCTGTGGTCACGCACAGAAATAGGTATGATTTCACCTTGAATTCACCACAACAACAGTGTCACTGTGTAACTGTAGACATTTATGAGATAAAAGCACCAGAGGTCATGTCACTGGTCCGGTCTAGAACCAAGTATGGACACAGAGAGGAACTCCAACCAGAACATGAGTAACGTCAAGCAGGAAAATGAATAAAAATGTTTTTCCATCATTAACCCTGGTTTAATTCCACCCTCTAACACAGCGGTGAGCTCATTATCAGGAAGAAACTTTACTGCATTTACTTTGGCTTTTTGTACAGCAAAACAACATACTCAAATCTACAGACGTGGTTTTCAAGTGTTGGAGACTGAACCGTTGACCCTCTTGTTGTAAGGCAAAAGTACTAACCACTAGTACCACATAGCCCCACTGATGCACATAAATCGTCAATCGAAAATAAAATAAAATAAAAACTAGAACATGCTAACCGTACACTTCAAATGCTCCTAACATGATCCGGGAACTTATCTTTAAAATAATTACAACGGTTTTAATCGGATACATTTCAGAATACTCAACTTTAAATGTTAAAACATACGACCCAGGTTTGGGTCGCGAACCGTTGTCTGTGAAACACTGACTCTTGAAGTTCACTGAATTGTTGCGATATGCGATAAAAATCGTTAAACGGTATCAAAGCAGGTCTTCTAACGGCAGGAGGGGAAAACGCGTGGAGCCGTTAACGGTCGCTGCGAAGTTCCACTGCGGTCAGTGTCGCTGCTGTGCGTCGATACTTGCTAATAAACAGCCACGCTGGCTGGTTTTTACGTTAAAGTGCAACTTCTTATCACCACACGGAACAACTTCACCGCCTTCACTTCACCGCCACCTCCGACCTCCGACCTCCATCCTCCCACAGCCTGCGGGGCTTCGCCGCCGCCGCCGCTCACCACGCGTTCGCCGCCGCACAGTCCGGTTCCGGTAAACATCCTACACTCAG